AAAAAAAAAAAAAACACCAGCAACTGATTTTAAAGCATTGTTACATTCTAGCAGAATGCTATTGCCACCACAAAGCTCTCCACCTGAGACCCACTCTTCCTTGTTAAAGGGGGAAAGAGCATTAAGAGCTTGTGACACTATCCTCAGATTTTCTTCTTAATATCAAGAGTGAAAGACAGGTGGCAGAAGGCAGGACTTTGACATAAATGGTGACAGAAATTGAAGACTGACTCCTACAACTCCATTTCTAATTCCTGTCTTCTTTATTGCCTGCCTCTGCTATGTAAGTTGTAAGTGTATGCACTCAATCCTCAGCCTCTTTGTATGTCATTGTGGACTTATGACCCAACGCTGGCCTGTGAGACCTAAACAGGCATCTCCTTCTTCCTGTTTCTGCTTAGCATGTAGATATAACATCTGGAGCTGCAGCAACCATTTTGTGACCATGAGGTGACCAACATGAAAGTCTGTTAGAGCAGAAAGAAGGAAAATGTCCCAGACCTATTTACCTCCTCATTTCTTGCAATATGAGGAAAATAAACTATGCTCTAGCTTTATTCAAGATTTCCTTTCTTACCTACCAAACAGAAACTTACCTGAGCCAGTGTTTGTTGATGCTATCTCTGGAGCACCTGAAATCAATCAGCTTGATGCTTCTGGAGGTGAGTGACTCGTGCTTTGGAAGAACATCTGCTAGGACACCAGGGTTAATCTGCTAGGGTGATCATAACAAAGCACCATAGACTGAGTAGCTTAAATAGCAGAAATTTATTTTTTCACAGTTTTAGAGACAAGAAATTTGAGATCAAGGTGTTGACAGGTGCTTTAGGAAAGTTCTTGATTAAGGTGTTCTCTTGAGGCATGTCTCCTCAGCTCACAGATGGCCATCTTCTTCTGTATCCTCACATGGATTTTCCTCTTCTTATAAACATATCAGTCATATTGGATTAGGGCATGCTCTAAGAGCCCCCGTTTAAGTTAATCATCTCTTTAAAGCTCCAATGTATCTCCAAATAATCATACACTAAGATACTGGGGTTTGGGACTCCAGTATATGAATGGGGGAGGGGTACAAAAATCTAGCCCATAACAGAACCTAATCATTTATTTTTTGAATAGAATATATTTTTCCCTCTCCTGAAATCTTGCAGTCACATAACATAGTGACCTAGAGATATTCAAAGCCCAGGATCGGGAAACTGCAGATGAAGAGATAGAGTCCCAGGCTTGGGTCAGCAGGTCAGGGCTCTAGATGACCATCTTCATCTTGCTGCACACTTAGTTTCTGTGACCTTCAGAGTCAGATGTGAATATTATATGTATGATGGATAGGAAACTTACTGATGATATCAAATCTAAGATGCTATCAAATAGAAGAGGCACCATTAGGTTATATGAACCAAAAATGGCAAAATCATATCATGGGAGCTTGTAAAATAAGAGATTCAGAAGACCTGATGCAGATTGAATGAAATTGAAACTCTGAAATGAAGCTCAAAGAGTAGTATTTTTCAATGACCTATATTATGCTTGTGATTTGACAGACTTTGGAGACTTGAATTTCAGCCTAGCACCAACATGTTGAACTACTGTGCCTAATTCTAAGACACAATCTTGGGGACCATATATCAGTTTCAAAGATAGTCTATTGGAAGCCTGGATTTCAAACTTTTCCAGCAAAAACTCATAGCCCAAATACTTTACATTTCCTAAGGCATTCGTGGAATTCCAGAATGTCTCAGCTCAAGAGTTACATATAACAAACTCTTTGGTAAGACACATAAACCAAGTCTGGTTCTAGCAACAAGGAATGCTGCGGCATTTTATCTCTTAGCAGCTTTCTGCTCTCTTTCCCTGACTGGAACTTGCAGGCACCAAGACCACACCCACACTGCTACACTTTTCTGATTCTAAATGGCATGCAGTTAGTTCCTCAGGTGTATATTTTAAATTTTTTAGTACAGCTTGTTAAGATTTAGTTGAATCTCCTTAAATATTATTTTTTTCCTATGTACCTATAATGGAATCCTGAGTAATGGAGTATTTTAATGACTACAGAAAAAGAAAGTATCAAGATCAGAGAGCCACTCTGGACTGCTTAGCTGTTTCCAGGTCATTAGTAACCTACTGACCACCTCCCCTATGATACCATTCCCTGGTCCTCACACCACACTTACCTGTGCTGCATGATCTCAACTGAGGTCAGGCCCAAAATTTGACAGGGGGTAGACTGACACCCTCTTAACCTCCCTAGTTACAATCAATCATTTCTCCAAGGTCACACGCAGGCTAACCTACCTATGTTGAATGCACTCCACCCCACCCCCACCACCACCACCACTGTCCCTTCCAATTTCCTCTAACCCCATGATCCATGAACACCACCTCAGGAGTTGTTATCAAAGGCATAGGGCAATACCACCAACTTAGTCCAACCAGTGGGGACCTGCCCGATCCCACCCAGATCATCCACCAAGCCACACAGTTCCTGTTTGTATGCGGATTCCGTCTGAGCCTTGGCTAACTCCCAGGGACGCGCTATCAGATCTGCTGTCTATTGGCAGAATGTTGGCTTAAAACATACTTCAAATGTCTCCCATTGAACATTGGCAGCTTGAAAAAACACAGCCAGGAAATTAGTCTGGAAGGTTCGATTGCTGCATGACTCTTTACAAGGAGAAGCTGATGGCTTCCCCCCACCCAAGAGCACCCTTGTGTGCAGCTCCCTGTATGTGCTGTCAATTTAGGCACAGCCTGCTCAGTGGAGGGGGGGTCTTCTTAATGGGCAGCGGCGGTCTGCACAGAGTGGGGTGTTTTCTGCCAAGTTCTTTCTTCTTCATTTTTAAAACCCTCGTTTTACATTCCAAGAGAAATGTTGTCCATGTGTTTCTGATTCATTTACACTTAAATCATTAAAATGCTGTTTTGTGAGAGTTATTTGATGTCTGAGGAGCCTGTAAGTCTTCTTAATGGGACTTTTAAAGGGTTTTTCTACTATGCCTGAAACAGAAAGCAACATTTTGCTAAAACAGTGCCTAAGCTCAAACTTACTCTTTCACCCCCCTGTATTTGCACCATCAACCACAGCCCCCTAATAATGTCAGCTTGGCAAGGCTGACATTTGTAAGGGTTAAAATAGAGACACTGGATCACGAGTTCCAGCAGAGATTCAAGACAGTGTTTCCCCAAGTGGCAAAAAATGGCATTATCAGTGTACACATTTGCTGCCTTGGGTAGAAATGTAAATTCCAACTTCAGGACTCTTTTCATAATACCTCAGATTGACTTTCTCTGTGGCTGTCATGTGCTTCAAATGCCATGGGCATTATGACAAAAATTGGTCAGTAGCCTTACAATAGGATGGCTAAGAGCTCAGCTACTTCCTGTATCACTTTTAAGCTGTGTGACTTTGAGTTAGTCACTTAAGCTCTCTGGGCGGTTTCCTCAGAAAGTTGGCTCGAGTCAGAGAACTCAGTAAATGGTAGCTATCAGTGATAGTGTGGGGAGGATCGAGAGCTGGATAACCTTGGCAAGCTGTGTGACCTCTGAGCCATAGGTTTCTCACAGGTTTGTAAAATGCATGCAGTAATGTAACTCTCAGAAGCCTGTGAGAGTGATAGAAATGACGTTTGTGCCCAACACTGTGCCCAACAGAGCCGGTTTCCAGTAACATCTATTCTTGGCCCACAGATGCCGCTCTCCTTTGTGTTATTGGTCATGACCAAGGAGCAAGTGCTATCTTATTGTTCAACTCAGCTTAGGTCTGGAGCGTTTCTCCACAAACCCTGGGTAGAGATGCATACACAGGCCCCAGTCTTCGCCCATGGGGTACAGGTTTTCTCGCTGTGCTGGATGCCCTCTGGGCTGGATAGACTACTACACACTCCGACTTGGTGAACAGCGCAAGAACTGCTTAAGAGCTGGGATGAGAGGCGAGCCTTTCGCAGGACCTGATGCTTCTTGGCAATCCCAGCCAGGGGCTGTGCGCGCAGGGATACCAGGGTATTTACAGACGGATGGACTGAGGCGAGGCTTCAGGGTTTGCATCTTTTTTCTTTCTCAGTGGACATGTTAGCATTCCCTTTTTGAAGTTTTTTTTTTTTTCCCCCTCCCTTCTGTTTAATTGGTGTTCTTTCCCTGGTGCTCTGAAGAAGAGCAGAGAACTATAGCCATCTGGCAAAGGAGACTGAGGGAAAAATTAGACTCTGTCCCCCTCTACCCTACACACACACACACACACACAGTGCTCACACACATACTGATACAAATGCTTATCTGACTCTCAGTAATTTCTTTCAAGAGCTGGAGGCAACCACAGGGATAAAGAAGCGGACTGGAAAAGCAGATCTTTTAAAGAAGAAGACATTCTGTTGTCAGGTTCCTCTGAGTGTGTGTAAGAG